CTGGGCCTGGCATAGCTCCACTCCAGTCTTGCTTGTGACAAAAAGGCCTCCCCCATCCTGGAGATTCTAGAATGTGTCATAGGGTAGATGGTGTGGGGAGATGACTGGTCCATGAACTCATGAGCACATCTTCAAGGAGCTCCCTGAAGCCGGTATCTTCATTACTGTCTCCCCGGTGCTTACATACCTCCTGGCTCACGTTTAGTAAATGAAAGCTATAATGGAAATGAATACAGAGCAGGACCGGATGCCCACGCCCTCACCTCCAGGGAGGCAATAAACTCCAGTCTTTAATCCAGACTCTGCATGTGTGTAAATGTGTGTGTGTGTGTGTGTGTTCATCCAAGGCCTAGACACAACAGTGAAGCTCAGTATATATCTGATAGGCTAATAATCACTCCTTAGGAGCTCTGGTAGCATAGTGCCTAAGGCACTTGACTGCTAATCAGAAGGCTGGCAGTTCCAATCCACCAGCCCCTCCTCAGAAGGAAGGTTGGGCAATCTACTTCCTTAGTGATACTGCCTTGGAAATGCAAGGAGGGATCGCTATGAGTTGGGTCTGACTAGATGGCACATAATAACAGCAATAGGAGCTCTGGTAGCATAGTGCCTGAGGCACTTGACTGCTAACCAGAAGGCTGGCTGTTCAAACCCACCAGCCACTCCTCAGAAGGAAGGTTGGGCGATCTACTTCCATAGTGATACCACCTCGGAAACCCAAGGAGGGGTTGCTATGAGTCGGGGCTGACTCAAAGGCACATAACAACAACAACAATCACTCCTTAGTGCTCCAGAAGGGCAAACTCTGGTGCCTGCTGACTCCCTGGCCTCCCAGTTCCCTGGCCTCCCCGACCCTTGTTGACTCTGAGGCTGCAGGTCTTGGTCTGGTGGATCCCAGAACCCTTGGGACAAGGAAATGACTGATAAAACTCTGGATTAAATTGAAGTTTAGGATGAGCAGTGGGATTGAATTATCCATGACCTAAGATAACAGAGAACGGATCTGACTGCTGGAGGGTAAAGATAAATGATCAGGATACAGGGCCTCCTAGTGGATCACAGGGAAACATGCAAGAGGGCTGGGCCTTCATACCCAGTGCCAGAACAGGGACACACACATACAAAGTCACACGCAGACCAGACATAACCATGCACAGACACATGTAAAAACATGAAGACTAGCCATACATAGATTTCTAAACATTCAAACACATACAGAGAAACATAGGGACACAGAGATCAGGCCACACATATACACAGGGACATCCAGACACCACACACAGTCATACCCAACATCACACACACACACCCTACTCTCACCTGCCTACTGGTGGGCAGCAGCAAACTCCTGGCTGAGTCGATAGCCCCTGGTCTAGCTCGGTGCTTTGTCCCTGTTGTGTTCTGGTGCATTCAGGGTAAATGCTCGAGCCTGAGCGCCTCCTCAGCCAGAGCCCTGCCCCTCCATGCACTCCCAGTACTGGCAGGTAGACAAAGGGTGGGGAGCAGATGATGATGGAGCACCTCCTTCGTGCCAGACACCAGGACTTGGCATACCAGTGCCAATGGGGTGGTTTGCAATCCCCGGAGCAGCAGAAGTCTTTGTTTAAAGGGAACCTCACCGTAGTAGATTAAACAGATAGAAGCAGAGCTACTCTGGTTAGCATGAGGAGGGCTTCCGGAGCCCCACCCTTACTCTCTCCCTTCCATCGTAGCCCTTGGGCAAATGCAAACAATTCCTGACACTTCTCAGCAGACAGTGTGAAAGCCAGTGGGCTATGTAACCCACTGCCCTATGTAACCTTCAGAACAGCTCTGTCAAGTGAGGTTATAATCTCCATTTTGCAGATGATGAAACTGAGGCTCCATCAGAGGGAATAAGTAGTCCAAGCTCACAAAGCTGAGAGATGAAGTTATGATTACTAATTCCGATCTGTCTGATTCCAAAGCCTTGATGGTTCCACAATGCCCCAGTGCGTCCCTATAATGAGGAGAACTCCCTGCATTTGTACTGTATCTGGGGATCAGCTTCTGAGATACCAGACACCCTGCTGACCCTAGAGACCTGTGTGTGTGTGAGAGAGAGAAAGAGAGAATGTGAGTATGTGTATGAGAGAGTGTAAATATACATGTGAAAGGGTGTGTGAGTGTGCATGTGTGTCAGTACATAAAAGTGTGTCAGAGAGTGTATGAGAGTGTGAAAGTATGCATGTGTGTGTGTGTGCTGGCATGTATGAGAGTGTGTGAAAATGTGTGAGGGGAGGTGTGTGAGAATGTGTAAAAACCTATGTATGAGCATTTGTCCACTGGGTACTAGAGGCACACTATCACAAGTGTTCTCAATCAGTCAAATGCCATGAGTTAGATGTGACTCATGGTGACACCTCTTTGGGTTTCCAAGGTTGTTATCACTAAGGAAGTAGATTGCCCAAACTTCTTTCTAGGAGTGGCTGGTGAGTTTGAACCGCCAGCCTTCTGGTTAGCAGCCAAATAACTTAGGCACTATGCCACCAGAGCTCCCAAATGCAACACACAAGTAACACCTATTTTGTGCCAGGCACTTTGCTAGGCACAGGTGATACAAAGATGAATAAGACATGGGCTCTCCCCTGGAATACAGGCACACCTCCACAGGCAGGGCAGTGAGTGCTGGAATCAAGAACAGAGATGTGTTCTATGCAGATGGGGTCTCTGAGGGGCTCCCCGGAGAGGCAGAGATATGAACAGAGGCTTGAAGGATGAGTGTGCTTACCTGGGAAGAGTGAGCGCAGAGTAGGAAAAGTGCTCGGTGTGTGAGGGGAATGTCTTTAGGGTTCAAGTCTGGAAATGAAAGTGACAAGGACAGGGAGGGGCAGGTGGTTGGGGAGAGGTGGCATCCAAGCCACCTTCCTGACAAACTGAAGTGGATGTGAGGCTGGAGCTGGGGTGGGGGAGGGGTGTACCATCTGCTCAAACTCCCCCTACCCTGAATACCCACCCTTCTCAGCCCCTCCCAGCATTCCTTGTTCACATCCTCCCTGATAGACCCTGGGGCCACTCCTTCCCCTTCCTTCCCTCATCTCCTTCAGTGCCAGCTGTGGCTGTTGAGAAGGCAGGAAAAAGTTGTGAGGTGATCAAATATGATGGTTTAAGGGGTTTAGGAGCTCTCTTTGCAAGGGAGTAGAGTATGAGCCTCAACTGGGTGGACCCTGAGCTTGCACTGTTATTCAGACCCTGTCCGGCCCCAGGGGCAGTCTTGTGTCATCTGCAGCCTTCATCCTCCACTCCTCTAGCTGCCCCCGACCCAGGGGACAAGATTCCCAGGCCCTGGGTCCCCTGGGCCCCCTGGGAGCATTACAATGTCAGAGCTAGAAGGGCTCTTAGAGAGCACCCATTTTACAAATGAGGACACTGAGACCCAAAGATGGAGCAGGACTTGCTCAGGATCCCTCAGCCAATTCGTGGAAGAGCCCCAGGCAGCCTCCCTCCTCCTGCTGGAATCCCCCTGTTCTTGTTGTTATTGCTGTTGGGTGCTGTGGAGTTGGCTCCGGTTCATGGAGACCTTACATGTAACAGAATGAAACATTGCTTGCTCCTGTCCCATCTTCATGATTGTTGGCGTGTTTGAGTCCATTGCGGCCACTGTGTATTTTGAGTGCCTTCCAATCTGGGGGGGGCTCATCTTCCAGCACTGTATTGGACAGTATTCTGTTGTGAGCCAAAACATTTTCATAGACTAATTTTCACAAGTAGATCACCAGGCCTTTCTTTCATCTCAGTCTGGAAGCTCTGCTGAAACCTGTCCCCAATGGGTGACCCTGCTGGTATTTGAAATACTGGTGGCATAGCTTCCAGCATCATGGCAACATGCAAGCCACCATGGTATGGCAAACTGACACACAGGTGGTGGTCCCTGCTCTTAGGTTTCTTCAAAGAGCCAGGCAGGACAGAGAAGCAGAATCCCCAGTTGCCCAGTGGCAGCTCTGAGAGGGAGCTGCTGGGAGCCAGTGGCCCAGGCTCACTCAACCAAAACCAGGCCCTAAAATTCTGCACTCTTCCCAAGAACTCGGAAGTCAGCCTGGAGGTGGGGAGTGGGTGGCAAGAACGGCTTTGTGTCCTGCCTTCACCTCACAAGAGGAGGCCCCATTTCTTAGACTGATGGGACAGCCTCCGACTTGTTCTTAGCACCCACCAGGGAATGAATTCTCCTTAGCTCCAGGATTTAACCCAGTAAATGAGTCTCTACTCATCTCCTCGCTAAAGGGAGGCTCCCCTAGGAGCTGCATTAACTCTTTCATCACAGAAGGCCTGTCCTGGCCTTCTGGCCTGTCTGGTCAGTTACCTAATGGGGCCAAGGTCACAGGTCCATCTTGCAGAGTATCTTACCTGGGTATCAGGTGAGAGGATGTAGAAGAACCAGTGAAGCCCCTCCTCACTGCTAGGAAAACAAAGGTGGTACTGAGAGAATTAATGCAGCTCCCAGAGGGGCCTATTATCCTACCCCCTCAGTCAGCCAGTGAGGTGGGGAGGGGGACAATCTGCCCTAGTTGCTACCAGAATATGTTACTTGTCCCCCAAACCCAGGCCCTGGCCCTGTTCTCTTGTGGACCCTGCACCAAGAGGTATTACCTGAAATGTGGGCACATGGGTTCTCACCTCCCAATTAGCTGCTGCTTTCACTTGCTGAGCAGCACCCTGCTGGCTGAAGGGAGGGGAGTGGGGACACTGGGCAGAGCCAGACTCCCAGGGGGCCAGTAGGAGGCACTCAGCCCTAGGAAGAGCATCTTGGTAATAGCCTAGCCCCTTCCCCTGGGGCCTGGGAAGAGGATTAGTGCTGGAGCAATTCCGGCTGCCCTCCACCTCCCCACACCCTCCCACTGCATGCACCCCCACCCCACACCCCCACTGGGCCCAAGTCAAAGCATTGTGCAACCCAGATGTGCCTGGAGCTGAGACAGCAGGCCTTTGCTCAGAGCCCTCTCATCCTGCTGCATCCCTAAGTCCCTCTCCACCTCCATCCAGAGCTCCATGCTGGACTGAGGCTCCTCTCTCCACACCCCAACTCTGCCTGAGACACCCACCATGGGGACACCCACCAGGAGGACACCATCCCTGCGGCTGCTAGCTGCTGCAGCCCTTCTCTCCTCTGCAGGTAAGCCCAGTAGTGAAAATTATGTCATTATATATTATTGCTATTACTCTGATGATGACTACTGAAATAACTGACTGCATTGCTGTAGCAATTTCCTCCCTAAAATGTTCCCATTTGTGATTCTTTAAGGTTAAGAGGAGAGGGCATGAGTCTTTTCCATATTACAGGTAAAGAAAGAATGACGCAGAGAGGATGAGTGGCTTGTCCTGGGTCACACAGCAAAACTAGGCACAACCAAACTAAAAAACCAAACTTGTTGCTATAGAGTCATTTCCAACCTGTAGCAACTCCATGTATTACACATAGAGTTTTCTTGGCTGTAGTCTTTACGGAAAGAGATCACTAGGCCTCTCTTCTGCAGTACCATTGGGTGGGTTTGAACCACTACTCTTTTGGTTAGTAGCCAAGTGCAAACTGTTTGTGCCCCTCACGGGCCTCCGGTACAACCACTGCTCCATAGTATCAGTCCAGAGTTGCAGCCTCAGACTGCACTGTCCAGTTGGGTAACAAATAGCCATTAAAAAACCAAACTCACTGCCGTCGAGTTGGAGCCTACTCATAGTGACCCTTCCTTGGGGTTTCCCAAGGCAGTATCTCTAAGGAAGTACATTGCCCAATCTTCCTTCCAAGGAGTAGCTGGTGGGTTTGAACCACCAGCCTTCTGGTTAGCAGTCAAATGCCTTCAGCACTACGCTATCAGAGCTCCTGCCAATACCCATACCAAAACCAAACCAAACCAAATCCACTGCCATTGAGTCAGATCCAACTCATAGCGATCCCTTCTGGGGTTTCTGAGGCAGTATCACTATGGAAAGAGATTGCCCAATCTTGCTTCCGAGGAGTGGCTGGTGGGTTTGAACCACCAGCCTTCTGGTTAGCAGTCAAATGCCTTAGGCACTATGTCACCAGAGTTCCTGCCAATAGCCATAGGTGACTATTAAAATTAAATCAGTTACACCAGCCACAAACTGAACTGGACAGTAGAGTCTGTGGGACACTTCCGTTATCACAGAAAGTTCTACTGAGCGGAGCTGCTCTAGAGTCCCCTGACACAAGGAGACAATGACAGAGACGGCAGGGCTCTGTAAGAGTTCCTCAAGGCAATGCTTGCTGCTTAGCAAACAGACTGAGGGTGTGTTTGTGGATATTTGAGTGTGTCGATGGCTGAGTGCAGAGGAGAAAGCTTTTTCAGGAGGGCAGAACAGGGACTGGGAAGAGATGAGGCAGAGCAGGGGAAAGCTAGGCAAAGGCAGAAGTAGCCAGGCAAGAATCTCACCCCATGGGAGGAAGGAAACTGGCAACGGGGAGGAAGTGGGTCTGGAAGAAGCCCATGGGGCTGAGAGGCCCTGGTTAGCTGGACTCTGGAGAGGGTGCCAGGAAGGAGGAAACAGAGGGCCTGTCCTTTAGCTGGAGGGGGTTCACCAGCCCACCTGCTCCTGTTCTGAGGGGCCTGCTGGGACCTCTGCTTGGCCCTCTGCCCTGACCCCCAGGCCAAATCAACAGACGTCCCTTTTCTCCTTAATATTTCTGTGGGAGGAGGACCCATCCTCCACAGTCCTGCAGTTCTAGCCTCAGTCTCCACCTCCCCTCCTTTCCCACATCCACCCCGCACTCCTCTATTTCTCCCATCCCCACCTCCACAAGACTGCAGCCAGAAAATTTTAGGTTTTTGTCTCCCCAGGGAAGGACTCCACTGGCACACTTTTCAGAGACCTCATTATGTCCTAAAAACCAGTTGTCGTTAAGTTGATTCTGACTCATGGCGACTCCATGTGTGTCAGAGAAGAACTGTCCTTCCTGGGGTTTTCAGTGGCTGATTTTTTTGGTGCTAGAATCCAAAACTGCAACCCCAGCGCAGGTTAGCAAGGCAAGCCAAGGGTTGAGGCACCCCGTTGGTGGGGCAGGAACTAGTACTGAGGTTTTCCATGCCTGTTTCTCAGAAGCTCTGGGAGGCGGCAGATCACATCTGAAAACTGCGTTTTTGCCTCAGATGGTGTGGTTCCAGTACTGAGAAGAGTATTGAGGAGCCCAGGAACCTCTCCACCTCTCCCCTGCCCTCTTTGGGTGGCTGTCTCCTGCTCTAGGCAGCCTGGGCTAAGAGGCAGTAGGATCTGAGACCTGGCTCTCAGGGAGCAGCTCCTTGCAGCCTGGTGCTGGGGCAGATTGCTGGGCTTGGGACCACTGGGTAGCTCCTCCCACCCCCTGGGCCAGGCCTGTTTCCCAGCTACTTCTTGACTTAGGACATGATGGGAGTCCCTGGGTGGTGCAAATGTTTAACATGCTTGGCTGCTAACTTAAAGGTTAGAAGTTTGAATCCACCCAGGGCACCTTGGAAGAAAAGGCTGGTGATCTGCTTCCAAAAAATCAGCTATGAAAACCCTGTGGATCAGTTCTACTCTGCACACATGGGGTCCCCATGAGTTGGAAGCAACTCCACAACAGCAACAGAACAGGCCTTAGGGTACAGGGCAGTGGCTGTCAACCCCCGCTGTCCTTCAGAATAACCTATAGACCAAACTCACTGCCATCGAGTAAAGTCCAACTCATAGCGACCCCCTTGGGTTTCCAAGGCTATATATTTTTAAGGAAGTAGATCACCCCATCTTCCTTCCATGGAACAGCTGATGGGTTTGAACCACTGACATTATGGTTAGCAGCCAAATGCCTTATCCACTATGCCACCAGAGCTCCTTAGAGTAACCTACAGGCATTTGTAGGAGCTCTGGTAGCATAGTGCCTAAGGCACTTGACTGCTAACCAGAAAGCTGGCATTTCAAACTCAGCAGCCACTCCTTGGAAGGAAGGTTGGGCAATCTACTTCTGTAGTGATATCGCCTCAGAAACCCAAGGAGGCATTGCTATGTGTCGGGTCCAACTTGACGACACATAACAACAACAACAACAAAGCAGGCAGGTAAAAATTTGGAGTCCTGGCCCTCACTCTTAGAGCTTCTGATTCAGTGCTTCTGGGATGCAAGAGGACTCCGGGTGATCTGACATGAAGCTCGGGCCAAGATTCATGGGCGTTACGGTCTGCTCCTTCTGCCTGTGTGATCAGGGGCAAGTTCTTCATCTTTTTTTTTTTTTCCTTATACTCAAAATATTCCCTTCTTTCATGTTTTTAAGTCACAGTTTCCATGCTCATGAAATAAGAAAACCAAAAATGGCAGCACCTACTTTGTAAAGTGTTTACGAGAAGGAAATAGGGAGTATGGTACCTAGTAAATAGTACACACTCAATAAATGGCACCCATCCAGCAGGGCAGTGAGATTCTCTGGCATAGCGGTAAGGCATTTGGCTGCTAACCAGATGGTCAGCAGTTCAAACCCACCAGCTGCTCCGTGGGAGGAAGATGAGGCAATCTACTTCCATAAAGATAACAGCCTTGGAAACCCAACAGGGGTCGACTATGAGTCAGAATGACTTGATGGCAGTGGGTATCCAGCAGTAACTCAGATAAAAACGGCCTGGAGATCTGCTTGCAAAAACTCAGTCATTGAAAACCCTATGGAACAGAGTTCTCTGACACATGTGAGGTTTGTTTCTATTCTTGTGGATTCATGGGTAGACAATAAGTGTATATGGACATTTGTAGCTACATGTGCATGGGTGAGTGGGGGACAGGTGTGTGTGTGTGTCTAGCTGGATATCTGAGCAGCTCAGAGAGGTCTGCACGTGTGCATGTATGATATGTGTGCATGTAAGAAAGGGTGTATGGGCGAGAGGTGGGGAAGGGTGTGTTTGTGGATATTTGAGTGTGTCGATGGCTCAGTGCAGAGGAGAAAGCTTTTTCAGGAAGAAAGCCAGCCTTACAGCATCCATGTGCTCAAAGCCCACTCCACCACCCCCATCCCCCAGACAGAGTTCCTGGAAGCTGCTATTGTACAAGGTGGTTCCCAGCAGCCTGGCTGCCTCCCTAAACCCTTCTTCCCTCTCCTCCCAGCAGTCCCAGCTGAGGCAGGGGTGCCTACTCTCTGCCACCATCATTAATTTGGGATTAAGCTGGGCTCTCCAGCCAAGATGATGCATTTGTCGCCGTGCGTCTAGTCTAGTCTCCGAGGCCTGGGGCGGCAGTGAGGGATAGTGGTGGGTGGTGGGGAGAGGGTGGAGGGATGCCTGCACCAGACTGTTTCTGGGAGCCCTGCTCCTTCCTTATTCTGGGAGCTACTTAACAGCTGCCCCCACTCCCAGGGGGCCAGGGCTGGGCCTCAGCTGCTGCATGGGGGCCCCAGCCTCACCCCTGGAAGAAGGCTGACAGCTAGATGGTCTGGGAGAGCAGGCACTATTTGGTTAATGGGAATCTCTTCCCCCATGACCCACCAAGGAGGGGCTGAAATCAGCTGTGCTGAGGAGTAGGAGCCAATTAGGGGAGGTCTGGCTCCCAAGTGACACCACAGAGAAAAAGCGCCAGGTCCCACCAGTCAGCAATCAGAGCTGCCCTGCCACTGTGGAAAGGCAGGGAGACCCTCACCCCGCCCTGTGAAGGAGGACAATGGTACATGGAAACGGAGGCATCTATGTGCATTGCAGGTGTGTGTTCTGTCTAGACTTGTCACTGCTACAGACCCACTTGCAACTATGGACAAGTCACTCACTTTTCTGGGTTTCTCTTGAACTGTCATAAGAGAATTTCATAAATATGGACCTGCCCACCATCTGCCCACCACAAGCCTTCTCCTTGCCTGGTCTCCACCTACCTTTAGCATGGGTCCCACAGACACTACCTGAGTACATTCCTATGCAGGCTCCTCACAGTGCATCATTCTGAGGCATCCTCCCCTAGACTCTGGGAAGTGAGTTTGTATTATTCTTACCATTTGACAAGTGAACACATTGAGGCTCAGAAGGGTTCAATAACTTGCCCAAAGTCACATAGCTAGTACGAGGCCCAGCCTAGCCCCCAAAATCCAAGTACCTTCCATGGAACCAGGCTGCCCCCAGAAGATACATACATTCTCTCTCCACCTTTGTGGTCTGTGACACCTCATGCTTCTTCCAAGGCCCATGCTTGGATTCTCTCTTCTGTGAGGCCCCACCTGAGGCCCCAGGTAGCATCCATTGCTTCCACTCCGAGAGCCCCAGCACCTTGACTCTAAACCTCTATCTCAGCATTGACCGCCCACACGGACAACAAGCTCCTTGTGAGAGAGGGACTGCATCATTCATTTTTGCAACCCAGTCTGTAGCCCAGTGCCAGGTGTACAGTTGGTGCTCAACACCCAAGTGTAGGACAGACGACTGGCTTAACTAACTTGTCCAGATGAGGCCTGCCCAGTCTATTTAAATTGGTATTTAGCTTAGTTGTACATGTAGGTATTCTTGAATTGGTATATGTTCTGCTGTGTATAGTTTCAACAACACACACAGAAAATTGAGTGAAAATTTATATTTAATTTCATTAAAATTAAATAAAATGAAAAAATTCAGTTCCTCAGCTGCACTAGCCACATGTCAAGTGCTGGCTCAATAGCTAGATATGGATGTGGCTGCCATATTGGATGGTACAGAAAATAGAGCTGTTCCACCATTGCAGAAAGTTCTATTGGCTAATGCTGCCCTGGAGGCCAGGCTCCAGCCAGTCCCAGGTGCTGAGGCCTCTGGTGGTGTCCCTCCCTGCAGCTTGGAGCTTCGTGCAGGGATCCCCAGTCACCTTTGGGCCTGTGTTTGAAGACCAGCCTCTTAGTCTGCTTTTCCCAGAGGAGTCTACAGAGGAGAAGGTGACACTGGCATGCCGCGCACGGGCCAGTCCCCCAGCCACCTATAGGTGAGACTCATGTGGTGGGTGCTGGGAGGCTCTGGGCAACCATACAGTTTCTCCTCACATCTGCCCTGGTACAGGGCTGGGCCCAGCTGGCCAGGACTCAGCTTCCCCCTTCTGGTCTCTGCTGCAGGTGGAAGATGAATGGTACCGAGATGAAGCTGGAGCCAGGTTCCCGTCACCAGCTGGTGGGGGGCAACCTGGTCATCATGAACCCCACCAAGGCCCAGGATGCTGGTGTCTACCAGTGCCTGGCCTCCAATCCAGTGGGCACTGTAGTCAGCAGGGAGGCTGTCCTCCGCTTTGGCTGTGAGACCCGTGGGGCACCAGAACATGGAGTTGGGGAGGCACTGGGAAAAAATCTCTAGAAAGGGCAGGTTATGCCCCCAAGCCAGGCTTCCCTGACCCCACAAGACCTGCCCTGGTGGCTACTTTGCTGTGGAGGATGAGTTGGGGAGGGGGCTCCCAGGCTTGGGGTACAGTGCCTGAACCCCTGATCTCCACCTATAGTTCTGCAGGAATTCTCCAAAGAGGAGCGAGACCCAGTGAAAACCCATGAAGGCTGGGGGGTGATGCTGCCCTGTAACCCACCTGCTCACTACCCAGGTAAGTCAGGGCCCCAAGCCATGGTTAGAGGGCCTAGGAGGGGTTTCTAGACCTTCAGCAGGAGACACATGGAATAAATGTGGTGAGTGATGCGTGGAAGAACTGATCCCTGGGTCCCTGTCTTTCAGTAACTTCTGTATTTACTTTCTGGACCAGTCATTTTCTAGCTGTGAGCTCTGCTTCTGCAGGCTGGCAGATCTCTGAAGGCCAAGGCTGTGTCTCCTGTATCACACTGGGAGTTTCCTGGGGACAGGAGCTGGGTCCCCCCCATACGACTTGGAGCTCCCCGAGGGCAGGAATAAAGTCGCCTCTCCCTTTCGGTCTCCTCCAGCCCCAGCTCTTAGCACAGGCAATTCTGAGGACAAAACTAAACTCACTGCTGTTGAGTCAATTTGACTCATACCGACTCCTCCTTGGGTTTCCAAGGCGGTATCTCTACAGAAGTAGATTGCTGAATCTTCCTTCCGAGGAGTGGCTGGTAGGTTTGAACTGCCAGCCTTCTGGTTAGCAGTCAAATGTTTTAGGCTGTATGCCACCAAGGTCCTTATTCTCAGGATAGGCCCCACAAATTCCCACCAGCGTGTTGGGGTCCCACCCAGTGCTGGCCCATGAGTCCAGCACCCCCTGGTCTTCTCAATCTCCCCACATCCTAGGCTTATCCTACCGCTGGCTCCTCAACGAGTTTCCCAACTTCATCCCAACGGATGGGCGTCACTTCGTGTCCCAGACCACAGGGAACCTGTACATTGCCCGGACCAATGCCTCAGACCTGGGCAACTATTCCTGCTTGGCCACCAGCCACATGGACTTCTCCACCAAGAGTGTCTTCAGCAAGTTCGCACAGCTCAACCTGGCTGCTGAAGGTCAGGATCAGGCATGGTGGGGAACGGGGAGCAGAGAGGGTCAGCAGAAGGGAATGCCTCTAAGAGATAGTGAAGACCAGTTACCACCCCCTCCTCTGGCCCTGACCCCAGGCCCCCCAGGGGAATGGGAATCTTCTGAGACTCCACTGAGCTGCCTAGACAGAGTCTGCTTTGAACAGGGCCATGATCCCACGCACAGGATCCATGCCCTGGAGCCATTTGCATCTGATGTGCAAAATCCCTCTTTCCCCAGATCCCCGGCTCTTTGCTCCCAACATCAAGGCCCGGTTCCCAGCAGAGACCTATGCGCTGGTGGGGCAGCAGGTCACTCTGGAGTGCTTCGCCTTTGGGAAGTGAGTGACAGAGGAGGGAGGGGAGTTGGCCAGGGCACTCTCACAGCCTCTTAGGGGCCTAGGTGTTGGTATGGGGGGCAGGCAAGAACTGGCACAGTCATCTTGGTGCCCCTGGAAGGATCTGGCAGAGCGCCTAGATCACAGCAGAGGCCACCACCCCTCACTAAGAATTCACTCTCTGGATCAGGTGTCACACATGCCAGGGACCTTACACATACGGGTCACTTGGTCCTTCCAGCAACACAACCCAGGCTCACATAGTTTGCCTAACACCCAGAGTTAGCAGCAGCCCAGCACAGTGTGTGGATTCTGGCCCTGCTCTGTCACTCACTTGGCTATGAGGACTTGGGTCAGCTACATAACCTCTCTGAGCCTCAGTTTCCTTATTTGTAAAGTGATAATAATAGTACCTACCTTGTAGGATTGTTCTGAGGATGAAATGAGTTACTATATGTATAGTGCCTGGAGCAGTGCCTGGCATTTAGTAAATGTTCCATGAATGCTAGCAGTTATCATTGAAAAGATTACAACAGAAAGCATTATCTGTCTTGCTTTTGTCTAGAAAATGAGTCATTAGAACAGAGCTAAGCAAATAGCAGGTATTCAATAAATATTTGTTGAATGAATGAATATGATTTTCACTTTGGTCCCTCAAATATCTACTTCCATTACCTGGGTTGCCCTCTGCTCTGTGGAAAGTTATTGGGCTTCCAGAAAAACCATATTAAAAACACAAGAAAGGGTAATATATTAACCGTTTAAGAGACCCAACAATATCTCAGCTCATTTTCCAACCAAAACCAAACTCACTGCCACTCAGTCAATTCCAACTCATAGTGACCCCCATTCGGTTTTGGAAGTGGTGGGCTTAAATCACCAACCATCTGGTTAACAATCAAATGCCTTAGGCATTTGATTCCACCAGAGCTCCTTTTTAGCACATAATAACTAAAGCCCTTTGGAAAGCAGAGGCAAGGCCCCATTTGGGAGACAGAACCCAGGTCTCTGCTGAGGAGGACCAATCCATGAGAGGCACGGTGGTGCCAGCTTCATTGGCTTTGCACTTGTTGCAGGGAACAGAGGAGGGCAGGGGAGCCCTGCTTCTCGGCCCTTCCCTGCCTGTGCTTGAGAAGCAACCAAGAGCGCCCTCCCTCTTTCCTTGCCCCCTCCTTCTGTTCCTCCCCAGCCCAGGGGCCCCATGTCCACAACCACGCCCACCTGTCCAGCAGCTCAGGAGAGCTGAGGGTCTGGGTGCAAGGACATGCAGGACAAGGGAGTATGCCCTGCTCAGCCTGCTCCCTCTGACTTTGTCTCCCTCGCCAGCCCTGTCCCCCAGATCAAGTGGCGCAAAGTGGATGGCTCCTTGTCCCCACAGTGGGCCACAGCAGAGCCTACTCTGCAAATCCCCAGTGTCAGCTTTGAGGATGAGGGTACCTACGAGTGTGAGGCGGAGAACTCCAAGGGTCGTGACACCGTCCAGGGCCGCATCATCGTGCAGGGTAGGAGCCTGGGACACCCCCTGCCCCTTGCTTTCATTCTTGCCCTTGAGAAAACACACCCAAAAGTCAAGGAAGGGCTGGGATGCCCTTTGCTGATGCCTTCTTGCCCCAAGATTATACTGTGTATGGGGAACGAAAGAGACTAATGCTGTGGCCAGCTCAGAACTCTAGTAGAAGCTTCAGAAAGACCACACTGAAGTCCTTAGGATGATTTCAGTCACTAAAACAGCCACTAGTGTAACCACAAAGCACCAACTTTCTGGTGCCTGCTGCTTCTTTCCCCCTCTCCCATTTTATCCTCTCCGTCCAGGAATGCTGGTGGTGCCCTCTCCTGTCCAGAACAGGCACTGCAGCCCTGTAATTATCTTCTGTTTAATGAGCTGAGAGGCTCCTCTCAGTTCACCTGGAGGCTTTTCTCTCCCTTGCCCCCAACAGCTCAGCCTGAATGGCTCAAAGTGATCTCAGATATGGAGGCTGACATTGGCTCTAATCTGTGGTGGGGCTGTGCGGCTGCAGGCAAGCCCCGGCCCACAGTGCGCTGGCTGCGGAATGGAGAGCCTCTGACATCCCACGTAAGAGACTTGGGGCTTCCTCCCACACACCACCTCCCCATGCTCACCTGGTTTCTTCAACCCTCACCCCTCACCCCACCACTAGCAGCCCCTCTGGGCCAGTTAAGTTCTCAGAGGGTGGTTCTAGGTGCTTCTTTGTATCCAGGGTCTCATGGCCACAGACCGCTCAAGGAGGCTCGATAGAGTCCTGACTAACGGGTGCAGAGTCACAACTGGGTCCTGGGTCCGGTCACAACTCACTATGTGGTCCTGACTGAGTGATTCCACCACCCCTTGGGCTTTAATCTCCTGAGTGCAGGAGGTCTGCTAATCTCTGAGGTCCCACCCTGGGATTCCAGGAGGCCCTGAGGAAGAACTGGACACAGAAGCCCCATCTACCACCTCTCCTCGAGGGAGCTGGCAGCTTAGAGTCTCCACTGCACCCATCCCTGTCTGTCCCTCCATCCTGGTCCTCAAGGGGTCCTGATCCCTTTGCCTTGCCCCACCCTGGGCTGGGCTCTTCCTCACAGAACCGGGTGGAAGTGTTGGCCGGGGACCTGCGGTTCTCCAAGCTGAGCCTGGAGGACTCGGGCATGTACCAGTGTGTGGCAGAGAACAAGCACGGCACCATCTATGCCAGTGCCGAGCTGGCTGTGCAAGGTAAAAGCCCAGAGAGCCCAGGGGACTTCCCTGAGGATACACAGGTGGGGCTTTAGGAGTTTCAAGTTGCAGTATAGCCAACTTTCTACACACACACATAAAACGCACACACATGCATGGGCACAGTTTTCCTTAGCTTTCCAAATAGAAGAATTTAGGGATTTGAGAAAGCAGATGAGACACTAGGTTGGGAGCTCCTAGGGGACAGAGGGGAGCTCTGGTAGCATAGAGGCTAAGACACTTGCCTGCTAACCAGACGGCTGGCGGTTCAAACCCACCAGCCACTCTTCGGAAGGAAGGTTGGGCAATCCTACTTCCGTAGTGATACTGCCTCAGAAACCCAAGGAGGGGTCGCTATGAGTCGGGTTTGACTCGACAGCACATAACAACAACAGGGGACAGAGTCTCTGACTTGCTGCTATCTGGCACAAAGGATATGTTTGCTGTTGTGGAAAAAAAAGGTGGCAAAGTCATTTAAAACCAAATCCATTAGATCTGTGTTTGAACCCTTTTAGCTGTATGACTTTTGGCAAGTTATTTAACCTCTTTGTGTCTCAGTTTCTTGATTTATAAAATATGGCAATGATAGTCCTCATAGGTCTGTTGCAAGGATTAAATATGATCAAGGTAAATCATAAAGGACCTGCCCATCACATAACCAAAAAATAAACACAAAACCTGTTGCCAGCAACTCGGACTCAGAACCACTCCACAGGTTTTCCTTGGCTGTAGCCTCCATGGAAGCAGATCACCAGGCCTTTCTTTTGCAGCACCTCTGGGTAGATTCGAATCTCCAACCTTTCAGTTAGTAGTCAAGCACAAATAATTCGCACCACTCAGGTGCCCAGTAATGTCAGCTGGTGTTAGTATTCTTAGTTGTGTGACTTGAGCTTGCTGAGCTTCGTCTGTAAAATGGACATGATGATACCTACTTCATCAAGTCATCCAAACCAAAACCAAACTCACTGCCATTGAGTCGATTCTGAGAGTAGCAACGCCCTTTGGGTTTCTGAGGCAGTAAATCTTTACAAAGGAGATTGCCCAGTTTTCCTTCTGCAGAGTGGCTGATGGGTTTGAACTGCCAACCTTTTGGTTAGCAGTCAAATGCCTTAGCACTATGCCACCAGAGCACCTTCATCAAGTCATAATGAGGCATAACTATGACATTTATCTATCCAGACAATATTTATTTAACACTTCTTAAAGAGGGGGCTCTGGTGGCTTAGTGCCTAAGGCATTTGACTGCTAACCAGAAGGTTAGCAGTTCAAACCCACCAGCCACTCCTCAGAAGGAAGGTTAGGCAATCTACTTCTGTAGTGATACTGCCTCGGAAACCTCCCCACCCCCCCAGGTGGGGTCACTATGAATCGGATCTGACTTGAGGGCAGTGAGTTTTTTAGAGTTTTAAGGAACTTATTTAACTCTTCCTAAAAAATGGAGCTCTGGTGGCATAGTAGTTAAAACCAAAAAAAAAACACAAACTCACTGCCTTTGAGTCAGACCCAACTCACAGCAACCCCTCCTTGGGTTTCCAAGAAGTAAATTGCCCAGTCTTCCTTCCGAGGAATGGCTGGTGGGTTTGAACCACCAGTCTTCTGGTTAGCAGTCAAATGCCTTACGCACTATGCCACCAGAGCTCCTATAATGGTTAAAGCACTCCAAAAGGTCAGCGGTTTGAACCCACTAGCTGCTCCATGGGAGAAAGGTGTGCAATCTGCTTCAGTGAAGATTTACAGCCCTGAAAACCCAATGGGGTGGTTCTACTATGTCCTATAGGGTCACTATGCATCAGAATTGACTCCATGGTAGTGAGTTTGGTTTTTGGTTTTAAAGAATTAACATGATAGATAAGGTCTCCGCCTTCAAGCAGTTTACAATCCAGCAGAGAGAGATGGAAAAATAGACACCAAATCAAATAATCAAATAAGATATCTCAGACAGCCACATGGACAGGCCAGGAGGTGGGTCAGTAGATGGAGTGGACCAGAGAAGGCCTTTGTAGGAAGTAGCATTCAGAAGGTGACCTGAGGTTGAAGGAGACAGCATGTGATAATCTGTGGGATTTCAAGGCAAAATGTATAACAAGAGCAAAGGACCTGAGGCAGGGAAAGGCTTAGCCTGTTCAAAGTGAAAACATAAATGCCCCAGGGGGCTGCAGCATAATAAGTGAGGGGGAGTGCAGAGTGTGGCATGATCAGAGAGGTGGAGGATTTACTTCTGTGTGTGGTAAAAGTACAGGTAACAAAGCATTTGCTGATTCGACATCTTTTCCATGTTCAATTCAGTGACACTGCGTTCATCATGTTATATAGCCATCACCACTGTCCTTTTCCCCATCATGGGGCTTTACTTCGGAGCTGTTGTGACGAGTTGGACTTCATTCTAAATGCAGCAAGAAACAATTGGAGGGTTTGAAAGTGAGGAGTGAAATGGCCTGATTTACGTTTTTCAAAAAATGATCCTAGCTGCTGGGTAGGGAGAGCGCGTAGGAGGCAAGCAGTGGAACAGGAAGGCCAGTGAGGGGCCTTGTCAATAATCCAGGCAGAAGACACAGTGGCATGGACCAGAGCAGTAGCAGTGGGCGTGGTGAGGGAGGCTGCTTTCTGGGTGCACTTTGGACGCAGTGCTGCTGGGAGCCCCTCATGACTTGACCACCCAGAGTATGTAAAGTGCTTAGAGTGTGGCCAGATCAAGGATTTAAGCAAGGGTGTTCAATATGACTGTGGGCTTCCCCTTTTCTTCCAGCACTGGCCCCTGATTTCAGGCTGAACCCCGTAAAGCGTCTGATCCCAGCGGCCCGGGGGGGAGAGGTCATTATCCCATGTCAGCCCCGGGCAGCACCAAAGGCTGTGGTGCTCTGGAGCAAAGGCACTGAGATTTTGGTTAACAACAGCAGGTACAGCCCCTAGCCCACCCTGAGCACTTCTGCCCCCTCCTCATCCTCCTTGGAAGCAAGTCCCCTTCCCATGACTACAGACTGGCTTTGTCCTTGCTGCAGAGTGACTGTAACTCCAGATGGCACCTTGATGATAAGAAATATCAGTCGGTCAGATGAAGGCAAATACATCTGCTTTGCTGAGAACTTCATGGGCAAAGCCAATAGCACCGGCATCCTGTCTGTGCGAGGTAAGGCCTCAGCCGCCACTCTTCTTATGCTCCTGCTCTTATGTTCCCACATTCCTTCTAGTTTGTTTATGAGGCTACCTTAGGATTTGATTTTGCTTGGGACCCCCTTCTTGCCACCATCTGGTATCTAGTCCTGCTCCCCCAGCACACATGGCATGGGGCCACTGAGACAACAGGATATCTGCCACCACACTGCCTCTTTTCTACCCTGGGACTGAGGCCACAGCCTGTCATCTGTCCTTCTTTCTGCACCTGCCTAGCTAATTTCCTCCCCTATTCACCTAGAGGTCTTGTTTTTCTTGGCAGATGCAACCAAGATCACTCTAGCCCCCTCAAGCGCTGACATCAACCTGGGGGATAACCTGACCCTGCAGTGCCACGCTTCTCATGACCCCACCATGGACCTCACCTTCACCTGGACCCTGGATGACTTCCCCATTGACTTTGATAAGCCCGGGGGTCACTATCGGAGGGCCAGTGTGGTGAGCCTGGGCCCCTCAGGGCTCCTCCCTCCTCCTAGATAGACAGGAGACCCAAGATGTCTTTAATCATCACCACCTTCAAGTCCCCCAAAGTCATTCCTGTTCTCTCAGGCCCATGCATGGCAAGCTCATTCTTGGGTTAATAAGCATTGTCCCTTAGGCAGGCAGTTTCCTGGATGCCACCTAAAGGCCATACATCTAGGAGAGGATGAGGGACAACCTTGAATTCCAGAAACCCAATAAGACTCCCACTCTATGACTGTTCTTAATAATGATGTTATTATCCTGAGAATGACATTGTTAACTTGGACAATTGTTGACTGTCTTGTGTAACAAATTTTGTTGTTTAGTCCCCAGGGGTACTAAGTGGGGGAGTAGCTGACTCTTCCCATTGAACAGATAGGAAAAGTGGGATGCAGAGGGATCCACGGGGGTAACGGAGCAGAGGAGTCCCAAACTCTGTCCCATGGCATGCTGCATGAGCCAGGGCTGCTTCCTCTGACCTGCCCCTCTCCTTGCTCTCCTCCATGTGCAGAAGGAGACAATAGGGGATCTGACAATCCTGAACGCTCAGCTGCGCCATGGCGGGAAGTACACATGCATGGCTCAGACGGTGGTGGACAGTGCATCCAAGGAGGCCACAGTCCTGGTCCGAGGTGATGGGGTTTCCCACCTCCATCCCCCACCCCAGACTCCCTAAGAGAACCAGCTGGGCTATCCTGCCCTTCCTACCTGCCCCATCCCCTCCCCAACAAGCTGTTGGGGTTTCTGGCAGAAGTCTATTGAAGTGGACATATCCCATGGGTCTTTGTAGGTCCTAAATGAGTAAAATATTCTTCCTCCAAAGGAAAACTTTTAAAAATCCACTTTTCTTAAATACAGCCCCAAACTGGGTACTGTGCTAAAGCCAGAAGTTTTCAAAGACTAAAAATAGATTATTGCCATCAGATCAATTCTGATTTATAGCAACCCTATGTGACAGAGCAGAAGAACTGCCCCATAGGGTTTCCAAGGCTGTAATCTTTACAGGAGCAGATCCTGCTGAGCAACCAGTAAAAACCAACCTTTGGGTTAGTAGCCAAGCACTTAACCACTCTGCTAATATGGCTCCTTTTGCAAAGACTAGTACTGGGAAATCTATGCACACATCTTTGTGAAGCCTTCTGTAGCCCCTCTAGCCTTGAGACCAGAAGCCTGAACACATTCCTCCCGCCACACAACCCTACATTCATCACTCCCTGCCTCAGTTCCTTGCTTTTCCATCTGGGCTGTGTTCACTGTGCTCTCTGCTGCCCATTCTTGGTACTGCACCAACCCAGTCAGGCCTGGAAGACGTTGGCTCAAATTTGAAGCTGCCTAATTCCGACCCCCTGTGCTCGGACCTCTTGATGCAGGTCCACCAGGTCCCCCTGGAGGCGTGGTGGTGAGGGACATCGGTAACACCACTATCCAGCTCAGCTGGAGCCGTGGCTTCGACAACCATAGTCCCATTGCCAAGTACACCCTGCAAGCTCGAACTCCACCTGCAGGAAAGTGGAAGCAGGTTCGGACCAGTAAGTGTGAGGCCCCGCTCTCTTCAGTGCTGATAGGGAGGTGGAGGTAGTGGGAGGAGCATGGGGTGGAGCCTGGATCTTCAAAAGTGGGAGCTCTCAGGCCTGTTGGGGGAAGCAGTCGCACAAAGGCAGCAAAGGGGGAGAGAGTTGAGGGAGGAAGCACCCTGTGTGTATGCTTGAAGGGATTAGTAGACTATTACAGGGGCAAGGAAAATACCAGTGGTGGGAGGGTATGCAAAGCATAGGCAAAGCATTAGCACTAAGACAGGGAAGTCTGGTGTGGCTGCCCCAAACCTCTAGTGTTCCCACCATTTCTGAAATAGGTATTGAGCACTTATTATATGACAGGCACCAAGGTGAAAGCTGGGTACAAAGAGGCCATTCAGACCCAGTCCCTGCCTTCTACATCCAGACCAATAAACAAGTGCTGTGACACAGACTAAAACCTCCACTTGCTGGTGCCTTGCAGATCCTGCCAACATCGAAGGCAATGCCGAGACTGCCCAGGTCCTGGGCCTCACGCCCTGGATGGACTATGAGTTCCGGGTTATAGCCAGCAACATCCTGGGCACTGGAGAGCCCAGTGGGCCCTCCGGCAAAATTCGGACCAAGGAAGCAGGTCAGAGACATGGATCTCCCAAAGAGAACTAACATCAGAGCAGAGCCCCTGGTTCTCCTTAAAAGGAGCCCAAGCAAGCAGCAAGCAACCTCTGAGTCCCAGCCCTGCTCACCCGGTTTTGGACTCTCCAATATACCTATGCGAGAGGAGCACCAAGTCAGGACCGGGCTGCAGCATTGCATGATGCCTGTCAGAGATGGAAGGTTCATCTAGTCCAAACCCTTCATTTCAAAAATAGGCCAACCTTACAATTGCATATAAATCTACAATTATCTCAAAATGAAAAGTTTAATTTTTTTTTTTTAATGGAAAAACCAAGGTTTGGGGAAGGGAAGGGTCACAATAGCAGAATGCAGACTCGAACCCAGGACCATGGGTGGTAGGCAGATGACTTCCCAGGAAGGGCTTGAGCTGCTGAAATCAGTTAATGAGGAAGGTGTGTGTGTACTGCGTTTGTGTATGTGAGTTGTGCAGAGGAGTGGGGAAGCAGCCAGTGTTGACAACCCCAGCTTCCCTAGCCCCAACAGAAAGGATGAATATCTCTCTGCCCACCACCCTCAGAGCCTAGTGGGTGTCAGAGCCTGAGTAGGGAAGGAAGAGGAGAGTGCAGCAGCCAAAGGCCCTGGTCAGCATCTGCTGAGAGGCCCTGTCCACTCTGATGTGGCCCTGGAGCTATTCCTAGGCCAAGGCCAGGAATGAGAGCCCTGGGATCCTGGGAAGGGCTGCAGCATAGAGTCAAGACCCTACCTCCACTCCTTCTACCCACCCAAAGTACCCCCACTGACTGACTCAGTGGATGTACAGTGAGGGTCTGCCTTCTTGTCTCCCTTAAACATATTTACCTATATGCCCCAGGCTGATTCTCCAGGCTCTTTCTGGAATCATTCAGCACTATCAGCATGTACTTCTTCTAAGTAAGGAATTCCAGAAGGAACACTTCCTTTGATTGACTATAAACTTCTTTGAGAGTCAAATGTGGGTGTCAAAGCGTTGCTTTCATTGTAGTATTCCAAGAGTTGATGAGCACAAAGACAGGTAGGATGGAGAGGAAAGATAGTGGACTTTGAAATCAGAACAGCTGAGTTCAAATTCTGGCTGTGCCACTTATTAGCTGTGTGACCTTAGGCAGGTCACTTAGCTGCTCTGGGCCTCATAGTCTTTCCACCTGGAAAAGAGGGTAGCATAGTGCCTAAGGCACTTGACTGCTAACCAGAAGGCTGGTGGTTCAAACCCACCAGCCACTCCTCAGAAGGAAGATGGGGCAATCTACTTCGGTAGTGATACTGCCTCAGAAACCCCCCAAGGAGGGGTCGCTATGAGTCGGGTCTGACTCAACGGCACATAACAACAACAACAACACCTCATAGGATCTCTGGTGGCATAGTGCCTAAGGCGTCTGACTGCTAACCAGAAGACTGGCGGTTCAAATCCACCAGCCACTCCTTGGAAAGAAGATTGGGCAATCTATTTCCGTAGAGATACCGCCTTGGAAACCCAAGGAGGGGGGTCACTATGAATCCAATCAACTTGATGGTAGTGAGTTTGGCTTTTTTTTTGTTTGTTTCATAGGATCAAATGGGCAATGTGTTATGGCAAATTACAAGGCCCAACGCTATCATTACCAGAACTAAGTGAAAAGACTCCAACTGCTAGATTCTTTATAGAAATATTTTGACCCCTGACCAAGCTACCCCCTGCTAGGCTGGGAGAGCTGACCAAATACATTCTTGTTTTAATATCAGCCTTGTTTAATACTCAAGACACCTAGGAAATTAAATCTGCCACAAGAAGAAGAAGAAAAATAAAACACCCTGGAACCCCCAAAGAAATGCTTTCTGCATTAACTGCAGTTCTGGATTATTTATCCCATGTAATTTAAAGCAAACAGGGATTGATCTCTATTATTTAGCTCAAGTCAACAGGAGTAAAGAGAAGAGTGATCTTTTATGGGGCATCTAATATATGCTAATCACTGTCTTGTTTAATTTACTCTCACCACAGCCCTGTGAGAGAAATATTATCATCACTTTATGGGCAGGATTAGAGAAGCAACTCGCCCAGGGTAACACAGCTAGTAAGTGGCAGAGCTGGAATATGATTTCCATGTCCACAGGGACTGAAGGGCAAAACTCAGACCATTTGAAGGGGTGCCCCTGTTGTAGACATGGGCTCGGCGCTTTTGTTACTTCACTGCCCATTAACCAGCCACATCTGTGTCTCTTGGTCCTAACAGCTCCCTCGGTGGCCCCCTCAGGACTCAGTGGAGGAGGTGGAGCCCCTGGGGAACTTATCATCAACTGGACGGTAAGCTGGTCGGGACAGAAACAAAAATGTGCATCCAATTTTCTGGGGGACAAGTTCTGCCCTCCTCATCATCCCTGCCTGGCTCATCTCCCAGCTGGAGACAAAGGAGCTAAACTGAGCCGCTGCACAGCACCGACTCAAAGACCGACCACATCCTCTTCCTCTTCCCCAGCCCCTGCTTCCCCTTCGCTGCTGGCTCAGGACGCCAGGGCTGTCCCTCTCTGTGAAGGTTGGGCAGAGCCAGAGGATGGGCAGGGAAGCGCGCCCGCGGCCCCAAGCCCATGCCACGCTCTTGCCCCTCAGCCCATGTCGCGGGAGTACCAGAACGGAGACGGCTTCGGCTACCTGCTGTCCTTCCGCAGGCAGGGCAGCGCTAGCTGGCAGACCGCCCGGGTGCCCGGCGCCGACGCCCGGCACTTCGTCTACAGCAACGAGAGCGTCCAGCCCTACACGCCCTTTCAGGTCAAGATCCGCAGCTACAACCGCCGCGGGGAGGGGCCCGAGAGCCTCACTGCGCTCGTGTACTCGGCTGAGGAAGGTGGGTGCCTCTGGACGCCTTCCAGCTCTGCCACTTACTAGCTGGGTTACCCTGGACAAGTTATTGTCGTGTTTTCCCTCTCCATAAAATGAGGATGACATTACTCTCACAGGGCTGTAGTGAAAATAAAATTAAACAAGATGGTAATTTACACGTAGTAGATGCTCAATAAATGGGCTACTGCCCCTGAGGTGGAAGGTGCTCTGGTGGACTAGTGGGTAAAGTATTTAGCTGCTAACCAGAAGGTGGGAGGGTTCAAACCTACTAGCTGCTCTGCTGGAGGTAGTCTACTTGTGTGAAGATTTACAGCCTTGGAAATCCAAGTCGCTATGAGTCAGACTTCACTCTATGGCAATGGGTTTTGCCCCTGATGTGGGGGCTGGGGAGAATGCTACATACACCACACCTGGCTCCCTTACATAAGGGGGGGAAAAAATGAAAAATAAAAATAAAAAACCTCGCTGTCCTTGAGTTGATTCCTATTTATAGTGACCCCTTCTTGGGTTTTTGAGGCAGTATCACTATGGAAGTAGATTGCCCAGTCTTCTGAGGAGTGGCTGGTGAGTTTGAACCGCCAGCCTTCTGGTTAGCAGTCAAGTGTCTTAGGTACTATACCACCAGAGCTCCCTGTTCCGTAATTGGGGAGGTTAAGTGAACATCTAGGTTCTAAGCCTTTAGCCTCATTTTGCCTCCCCTCCCCCATCTCCCTAGTCAGGGCTGGAGTAGGGAAGAGGGAGGTTCTCTGAGGAAGGCTGAGGGTCAGAGAGGTAGTATCCTGGGGAGGGTGCCCTGAGCTCTCCTCTAAAATCCCAGCAAGGACAATCCTGGGTGGGGAAGGATCTATAGGGAGAACCTGGGAGTTCAAACCCATCTGTGCCCGTCCTCAGAGCCCAGGGTGGCCCCTGCCAAGGTCTGGGCCAAGGGAGTCTCGGCCTCAGAGATGAATGTGACATGGGAACCAGTGCAGCAGGACATGAATGGTATCCTTCTGGGGTATGAGGTAAGCTTTGACCCTGGGCCTGGGAAAGGGGGTTGCTGGGGCTTCAAGGCTAGGAGGGGGCAGTGTACAGCTCAGGAATGCCCCCTCACAAGTGACACCTCCTGCAATCACCCACTTACTGATTTGTCAAACAGAGAGAGGACCCAGTCAGCCTAGGCAGCACTGTGGCTACAAACAGAGACCCCATGGCTGATAGACTGGCCTCACAGTAAATGCTTGACTCTAGTGGTGGCTTGGTGCCTAAGGCATTTGACTGCTAACCAGAAGACTGGTGGTTCAAACCCACCAGCCACTCCTTGGAAGGAAGATTGGACAATCTACTTCCATAGTGATACAACCTCGGAAACCCAAGGATGGGTCACTACGAGTCAGATCCAACTCAATGGCAGTGAGTTTGGCTTTTGCTTTTTTAGTGGCCAGCAGCAGAAGCAGAGGAGCCCAGGGGAGGAAGAAAGGGCTCTGGAAGGGGCATGACCTAAAAGGCCCCTGCCCACCCTCTGTATGGAGCCCTGCCTGCCAGCTCCTCTGGTCCTGGCATTCAGCCTGGCATCCCCAGGCTGAACTGGGAACAGCATGAGCCCCTCTGTGTGCTAGTAGATCTTCCCATCCCAGGGGAGCTCTGGGCCCAGCAGTCTCTGACCTAGCCCTGGGCCCATGGATAACTCTAGGTGGGGTATGGAATAGATGGAGGGCAAAGAGAGCAAGAGAAGGAAAGAACAGAAGTCAGAACTGTCATTGCCTAAGGGAGAAGCATCAGGCTGGACATACTAGTGACACTGTAAATTCCATTCAAGTTAGCTCTACACTTTAGCACAATAGCTTAGGCAAGACACACGCAGTAAGGAGGTAAATCCAAACTCTGCCCTTGATTTTAAATATTTTAAATATGCCCGTGATATTTAGCCTTAGTATCACAATTGCTATAAAAAATAGGTTTGCATTTACTGAACAGCCATCTTAAGCCTGCGGTGGGTTGAGAGGCTACTTTGCAAGTACAGATATGCATGTTATACTGCAGTGGTGGGATTCTTGCCTTCTCTGTGTGACACCTGGGTTCAATTCTCATCCAATGCACCTCATGTACATTAAGTTGTGTCAGTCAGTGGTGAGTTGCATGTTATGCATAGATAGCTGCATTTTGCAGCTATGAAGCTAAACAGGTTTCAGTGGAGTTTCCAGACTAAGATGGACTAGGAAGAAAGGGCTGGTGATCTACTTCCTGAAATCATCCAGTGAAAACCCTGTGGATCATAGCAATCCAATCTGCCAGCAGTCATGGGGGTGACAGCAGACTGGGCAGCATTTCATTCTGTGGCGCATGGGGTTTCCATGAACTGGGGGCCAACTTGATGGCAGCTAACAATGACGACAAATCCTTAGCAGAATCCCCATGGTGGTCCTTGATTTAATTAAATGGGAGTGGATTTCAGCAGGCCCTAGCCCACCACCTATTCATTGCTCCCCACTCCCCCATTCAGTCCACATAGTGAATACCTTTCTTGGGCTGAGCACTCTGCTAGGCACCCAGAAGACAGCAGTAAACAACACTGACTTGTCCTTGTTCTCTGGAGCTCTTAACCTAGTGTTCAGCCTCTGAGACCTATGACTGAGTCATAAGGACCAGGGTGAGGAGGAGAGGAACAGTATGTAGGTATTCAGGGCCTGAGTCAGGGTAGGCCTGAGGTCCTGGGCTTGATCCTGGACCCTAGGGTACCCCTGCTCCCCTCAGATCCACTACTGGAAAGCTGGGGACAAAGAAGCAGCTGCTGACCGAGTGAGGACTGCTGGGCTGGACACCAGTGCCCGAGTCACCGGCCTTCACCCCAACACCAAGTACCATGTGACCGTGAGGGCCTACAACCGGGCTGGCACTGGGCCTGCCAGCCCTTCTGACAGTACCATGACCATGAAGCCCCGTGAGTCTGTCTGGGGTGGAGTGGGGGGAGGGGCTGATAAGACAAATGCTTCAGTCCACGAGCCCTGGCCTCCACAGAAACGTGGCCACGAGCCTAATGGAACTTGTGGCCTCTGAAGTGCCTCCCTCTCTTGGCTTTTCATGGGGTTTTTTCCTTATGCAGCAAACAGAGTATACTTGCTATAGGCAGACCTTCAGAAAAGGGGGCAGAGAAGGGGGAGAGTGGGGAAACACTGGGAAGTCTCTCCAACTCTCTCCCTCCCGGGTAGCTCCACAGCGACCTCCTGGCAACATCTCCTGGACATTCTCAAGCTCCAGTCTTAGCATTAAGTGGGACCCAGTGGTCCCGCTCCGAAATGAGTCTGCAGTCACGGGCTATAAGGTAAGGAAGGGATCAGCCAGGCATCAAATGGTGCGGAACAGCCCCTTTGCATTTCCAGTTAATACTGGGGAGTCCCTGGGTGGTATAAACGGTTAAGCGCTGGAAAGGCAGCTGGAACCTACCCAGAGGTACTTCAGAAGACAGGCCTGGCAGTCTACTTCTGAACAACCCTAGTCATTGAAAACTATGGAGCACAGTCCTACCCCACACAACATGGGGTTGCCATGAGTTGGAATCCACTTGATGGCAACTAAAAACGACACAGGGGAGCAGCAACTTATATTAAGAAGGATCTGAGTCAGACATCTGCAATGATTTGTGATTGTGAGAGGCATGAAATACTTAAATGGTTCTCTGAGTAGATTGTAGTAGGAACTAAAAAGGGGGCAGACAGTATCACTGTGGGAAGGTAGGGGTTCATCTGGGTAGTATGAATTGGGTGAAGCCTAGGGTCTTCTAGCCTCAGGAGTCTGCAAAAAGAATTAGCTGCTTCCTCCCATCAATGAGGTGCTTGTTTAAGAGCTAAGAGCTTAGCCCTGGGCAATGGAAACAAACGGGTGAGTAGGAGGACTCTAGAGTAGGAGGACTTTGAAAACCTTTGGGCTCCTCCCAGTGACTGGAGCCAGGGAGGAGAGAAGGATCAGCCCTGGTGTGAGAAATCTCCGTCTGGCTAAACCCTTTCCACAGATGCTGTACCAGAATGACTTACACCCGACACCCATGCTCCACCTCACCAGCAAGAACTGGATAGAAATTGCAGTACCTGAAGACATTGGCCACGCGCTGGTGCAGATTCGAACCACAGGGCCTGGAGGGGACGGGATCCCAGCGGAAGTCCACATCGTGAGGAATGGAGGTGCTGCCTCTCCCCCACCTGATCCCCGGGAATATCAGGGTCCAGCCAGATACCTAATGAAGGAGTCACTTCCACCCAAGACAACCCTAACCCAGCCAAATACCAAAGGGAAAGGGGGAGGAAGGCAAGACCCAAGTGCAGAGCGGTCCTGGCATTGTCCATCACTGCCTCCCCCCCAAAAAAACAGAGCACCCTTTAGGGCTAGAGAAGTGAGGGTGCACCTTTTACAGAGTGTGGGGAAGGCCGAGGACCAGCAAAACCAAATGTCCTGCAAAGCGTTTTAGGAGTAGGGCTGAGAAGACCACACTGCCCATCCTAACGCTAGCCCTCTATGAGTCTCCTTAGGAAAGGGCTTGATTCTATCCAGAGGGTGAGGCTGGGGTGGTCCAGGTCCCAGTTGATTCCCCCCCACCCCACCCCGACCCCATTTCTGGCTGCTGGTTTCAGGCACAAGCATGATGGTGGAGAACTCAGCAGTCTGCCTAACTCCATGTGCTGGTGCCATCCTCTCCCACTCCATGGCCATGCTGATCATCCTAGGCTACCTGGAGCTTTGATCTTGGCTCCCCTCCCTCTCCGCCAGAGCTGGACACCCACCTCCGATGGACACAGCCAGCTGGTGCTGGCCCCTTCCAGACGCCAAGGTGGCCCAACACTGTGCCCAAGAGTGGTTGGTTTTAAATACGTACTTTAAACAGTGCCCTTTTTGTAGGAGGTAGGATATTTCAAATTCTGCCACAGGATAGAACCCATGTGAGGATTTTTTTCTTTGAATCAAGAGGCAATAGGCAGCAACTTCCATGATAATGCTGGACTCTATGCCTGGGCCCTCTAGGATGTCTGGATGGAAGGAACAGACCTATGGGAAGAAAGGGGTTTTTAAACATGACCTTCAGATCAGCAGAGATAGCACTCCAGGATGGCGTCTGGATCCTGCCCCTCAGAGCAGAGTCCGACAACAACGTGCTATGAGCAGACTGAAGAAGTGGGCAGGACCCTAAAACCAAGGACTCTACTTTGTCCTCATCAGGGGTGGCATGGCTGGACCCTGACATTGTCCTTGATGACTCCTCAGAGGCCTCTGGCACCATCTGGACTGCTGAAAACCAGGGCTGTGTTGTCTGTAGCAAGAGCCTGAGCCCCTCAGCTTTTGGGGATGATACTCCAGAATTGGGGGTGGGGTGGGTATAGGAGCTGAAAAGGGCTGAGAGGCTGAGACACCTGGGAAAGGACATCAGCCTGGGCCTGAGACACGGTCACAATCCAGGTGAAGATGGCCTCTCAACCAACACTGCCAACCTGACCCTGTCACCTCCAGAGTGACAGAAGCCACTATAGGTGACCGGATGACTAAAGGGCTCTGTCTTGGGGAGGTCTCTGACCCCAAGACTCATCCTGCAAAACCCTTCACAGGTTTTGGGCAGCATGTGGAGGGGGACAGGAGACTGCCAATCGTGCCCGCCCCCTTCCTCCAGCTCTGCCTGCCAGTCTGCAGTCACCACCCCCACCTGCTACACCCGGGACCCTGCTCCCCAGCACCGACAAGCCTGGGAAAATCATGGGAGTGTTCATTGGGTCCTGGAATCAGGAGTCTTCTGAGTAAGGCGGAGGATAAACGTGGCTCTGCCTGCTCCCCAGGAGTGCCCTGGGACCACCTGGCAAGAGCTGTCCTCCAGGTGCCCTTGAACTGCTCTTTTGACAGGGATGGCCTTTTGTGTTTCCCCAGAAGGGGTTAATAAATGGGACGTGCTATCTTGCACTCCTAGTATATGATCAGTCACAAAACCTCCGAGCTGGAACAGGCTTTAGAGTTCAACTTGTCCAAGACATCACTTCACAGATGAGGAAACTGAGGTCCAGAGAGGATTAGGGACTTCCCAAGATCACACAGGCTGTAAGTGACCAGGCTGGGATAAGAACTCCTACCTTCTTGGTCAAGGCTCTTTGCCTGTCTATCCAGAGGAAGAAGGCACAAGCTGTTCCAAGGGGACAGAGCTGAGCAGCTCTGGACTGTTTAAGAAGGTGGTCAGGGGCCACAGAGTATGAAATATCTGCTCCGAGGTATTCAGGTTGATGACCATGGGGCTTGGCGGTGGCTGGTCCTAGCCCAAGATGTGAGCTGATTCCAGGAGACGTCCAGCCCTGCTCTGTCTTCACAGTCCAGCTGTACTGTGACCTCAACACACAGTGCTGGCTTGAAGCCCCCACCTCCCTTACCCTTGCTCCAGGAACAGAGGCCAAAGCAAGGACAGGGACTCCTCCAATCCAGGAAGCAGTGGCAGAATTACCGGGACACCCCACGGTGATGCTCTGACAGGTGGCCCTTCACATGTGGCAGCACAGGACAGGCATCGGTGGGCATGGACCCTTTGGGGACTCCCTGAGCCTGTTTGCTGTTGTTTACAGGTAGAGCTCTATTTTGTTATGGTTTTTTAAACTTTCAGCTCCTGCTCTTTTTTTTCCTGGGCAGGTTTGTGTTGATGTTTACCCACTACAATTTTTTTAACATTGGCTCCCATCTCTTCCTCCTGCCACCACCCAGTCTCTCAGGCCAGGACTGCTTTTCTGGAGCCAGGATGATTAGATCCTGCTCCCACCCCCACCTCCCACATGCAAGCCTTTGGGGGCTCAGCTGTGTAACCAATTCTCCTATGACAGGGACTCCAAGTGTGGCCTAGCATCCCTCCTGGCCTCGTTGGCTGTGATCAGGCCTGTGCCCAGCTCTCCATCAGAAAGGGAATGTTGGGACAAAGATGGGTCCTTCTACGAAGGGCGAGCTCGTTCTTTCCTCATTGGGGGCTGTAGCAAGGGAGGCGGAGGAACAGGTATTTAGATGCTAGGCCAAGAAGGGTAAGAAAGAATGGTACAGATCCCAACTAGTGTACCTGGGGGCCGCAGCCCCTAAGCTTGCTTGAAGCAAGGGGTGGGGGGGATGATGATTGGGTACTTACTCATGACTAAATGTTTTCATTTTAATGAGGTCCAGGGAGCCCTGGTGGTGTAGTGGGTGTAAGTGCCGGCTGTTAACTGAAAGATGAGTGGTTAAAACATACCAGCTGCTCCAGGCAGTGTTTTGTTCTGTTGTATATAAGATCGCTATGAATTGGAGCTGATGAGGTGGCACTTAACAACAAAGCCGCTCTGCTCTGTGGAAGGAAGATGTGGCAGTCTGTTTCCACAAAGATTTATAGCCTTGGAAACCATACAGTTCACTCTCTGTAGGACCACTGAGAGTCTGAATTGACTTGACAACAAACGAGTTTGGTTTTTTAGCTTAATGAGGTCCAACAGAAAAGGAGAGGAAGGCAGACTGCTGGGAACGGGTTTTTCACTAAGAAAACTAACCAAAAACACCAAACTCACTGCTATCGAATCAATTCCAACTCAAAGCGACCCCTCTTTGGGTTTCTGAGGCAGTATCTCTGCAGAAGTAGATTGCTCAATCTTCCTTCTGAGGAGTGGCTGGCGGGCTCGAACTGCCAGCTTTCTGGTTAGCAGTCAAATGCCTTAGGCACTACACCACCAGAGCGCCAGGAAAACCAAAGCATTGTTCAGAGAGAATTTGTTTTGGGGATGGGAAACGACACTGAAGCAGAGGTACTGCAGCGTGATGTTAGATAACTGATTAAGGTGTAATGAGACACTAGGTGACTTGAGGATATGCCAACGTTTAGAAAGGAACAGCCTCTTGCTGGGGTGGCTTGTACCCAAGCTGACTTGGAGGCGGAAAACTAGACTGGATGACTGGTTTCAGAGTCTCTTCCTCCCCACAGGGACTCTGGTTTTCATCCTGTCAGCTCACATGGGCTGTAGGGTGTAGGAAGTTTGGCTCCCTTCTGTTGTGACCACTAACTCTATCCTAGATCCTCTCCTCTCACACACACCAGGCCAATTTTCCCAGCATTTGCAGCCCTGGAGGCAGCAAGGGAGAAGAGCCACAAACAAGTCCTTTAGCACTCAACTTCGTGGCCAATAAGTGCCTTGAGGACTGGGAACAGACAGCCTGCAGCCCTGAGACGCCATGTCAGGATCTGTGCACATTTGGGCTCTGCCTTCAAGGCCCTTTGCCCCTTGGTGAGGCTACCTGGTCCTAGTTGCTCTCAGTGCAGATGTGTATCCCCTCCCTCAGGTAGCTCTCTCCAGATGGAGTCTCGGGCCCCAGCAAGGTCAAGTGACTCTTAAGTTCATTCAGGGCATCAAAGGACAGAGGTGGTGCCAGAATGAGAGGACCATCTCTGAAGAGGGGAAGAGAGCGGACTGTGAGCCCACTCTTCTCATCGCCCTCCACAGTTCAATGGGGAGTTCTTGGGCTGATTCAATCTTCCAACCAGCTGTTTGTTTTGGGGAGAGGATTTTTTTTCTCTTCTTCTGGTCAAGTAGCAACAGGAGAGACCGAGGTTAGACATTAGAAAGAACTTCTGCAGCGAGACCCCGGAATGACTAAAGGGCTTTTCCTTTTTTAGGGATCACTGGGGAATTTTGATAGCTGTTGGTCACGCGTCTAGGTTAGGCAAAATCAGGACTTGGGTGGTGGGGGCGGGGAGATGCTGTAAGTGTCCTTCCAGAGCTGAGATTCTTAGAATCAGTATTCAGCAAGGAAGAGTTTTGGGGAACCTGTCTGCTGTTGCCCCTGCATTTTAGGAGAAGTGACTAAAGCCACACAGCCAATAAGGGGGAGGGTTCACCTAATGCATTTTGGTTACTCAGTGCTTTTCCCAATCCAAGAGCCATCTAGCCTGTCCCTGACAGCCCCAACATGACCAAGAATGCTTTACTGTCTGTGATCTCTTCCCCAGAATGTGACCACCAGCTGGGCCCATATCAGAGGGATCGCAGTATCCTCTCATCTGTGTGCACTGACACAGATTTGACACCCTATTTCAGAGTCAGACTTAACTAGGGCTTCATCCTGGCCATAAGGAGGTTGCCAGGAAGTGGCGTTCGAGAGGGGCTAGAAAGGCATTTTCTAAGGAACTTCAGAGAGCCCCCTGGAAACAGGTGCCTGCTAGCTGAGGGGTGCTCCATGGAACTTGTATATATATACATATATGGCTCATACAGCTTTGGAGGAAAAGATGGGGTCAGAGAGCTTTACCCAGTGGCCCAGGGAACAGACAGTGCCCTTAGATGGGATACACTCTGCCTTGCCCCTAAACTCCTCCAACTTCCTCCCCCCACCGAGACCTGCACAACTTAGAGCTGCTGCAGCTGAGCAAGTGCTAGGGACTCCATTATTGCTGAAATGGAATCACACACCCCGTTTCTCTCTCTTGTACTTCTTGTAATGGTAGTTATTTATTGACTGTGGTAGCAGGCAGTTCTTAAATAAAGTTGGATTCTCAATCTGTTGAGGCAGCTGGCATCAGCTGTGGGTGTTTTGATCTTCAGGTTAAATTAAAGCACACCTCTTTTGTCCTGTTCTCTAAACTTAGAGGCTTTCATACACCGTACTTTCATCCCTCACACTCAAATCTAAGAAAGTTACAAAATACAGTCCACAGTGCTTCAATCATTTCTCGGCAAAAGAAAAATTAGTTTGTTTTCTTTTTTTTCTAGTTGGGGAGTGGTTGGTAAACAGAGCCCAAGGAAGTTTTTCTAGACCATGTTGGCTTTCCCTAACACAATGCTTGTGTGATGGTACTGCTTCAAGGTTCCCTGATTATTAGGGCATTTGAGGTGTTGGCTCAGTGATCCCAAAAGGAAGTTCTCTCCCTGTAGATATAGTGGCCCCCAACTGCAAAGAACTTGTACAAGCAGCCAGAAGAGTTTGAATCACTAAAGTCACATTTCCCAGCCACAGAATTCTCACATATTCAAGACACGTTTATCAAATTTCCATTACATACAAGATG